GACAAATATATCAAGTTGAAACTATACATTCGTATTCATCTGAGATAATTTCAGGCCTTCAATCAGACAGTTTAAAAAATGATTAAATCCGACACAATCATATAGAATTGGTCCAGCATGATTACACGGCTGTGGGCTGGTGATTAATTAATACATTGAAGGCGCTTCAGCGTAGCCTGGGACTGCTCCATATACTATATACCATGAATACCAAGGTAACGAAAAACATAATTAATGTTCTACTAATAACGCAAAACCTCTACAATTTACTTAATCTACCCCAAAAAATTGACCTAGCTCGCTACTGTGCAGTCGTGAACCAAAGTTGTATCGTCTATGAGCAAGAGTTAATTTCAAAGTACGGTCTTTCGGACAATTACGTGAGTGAACAAGACTCACTTGAGTGAATTTCTTGAAAAACGATTCATTTCGATTCATTAAGAAAATTAATTTTGTAAGTGAATTAAAATTCATATGGTAGGTTATATGCAACAGTAAGCGCTATTTCAGCACAACTGGCTTGTCATCATTTCTCATCATCCGGCTGGTGGAACCGGGACTGTTTAGTCAGTTATGGCTTCATGACTATACCTTCACGTTAATATTTTCAATAGTTCCCATTATTTTTTTGTTCTCTATGACTTCAAATACAATATTTTATGAACTCTTGTGGAGGACGAGTTTGGTTCCTATTAACCACGTCGCCGAGGACAGTTTCATGGAAATGAATAGTCTCATTTGAGTCATGAGCATGCATCAGTATAGTATTCTCCCCTCTGGATAAGAATTCAGTACTTATGTTACTTAGAAATGATGATATTTTATTTAATTTCATTTCATTTTTGCCTCTTTAAAAAATTTCATATTCATGCAAACTTTAATCTATTTTATTCAACTGACCATGACTTCGGATTTGTCCAGCGCTCATCAAAGGAGCTACGCGCTCTGACCCATTTCCTTGACTCACTTCTGCTCCATGTCTCAGTTCAATGGCTACACGTGACTCACTTCATGAATTACCGTGTATATGATAAATGAATAAACAAAATAAACGTACAGCATCCTGATATTGTATACGAGTCAAATAATCTTCATGCATGACGGGAAAAACGGCAATGTCTAAGGAATATATTCAGGCAATTATACCCTGGGTAATTCACTATAATTGCGTTATTTATGTATGAATGGAAGTAAAAAGCATATTTCTTATATTTGATAGTTTTTGAATTGTATAGTATTTGCAGCAATTGTTATTGAGTGAGCTGAATTATATTCAACCATAAACACGCAGTACTTTCTAGGTCAAAATAAAACTCATATTAAAACTAATGTGTGTAACTTGAATTCAATGAGCTTCAGAAACATTTTATATAAATGAATTATATGTGAACATTGCATATGTAAATAATGTATATAATCTTTATCAGATTATTTACAATACATTACTTACATACATATTTACATTATTTTATAAGATTATTTAATATACTTATTATTATTTAATAAGTCATGAGCTTTAGTTACTCACAAGTTACTCTCTGATCTCACCGTTGTCTGTACGTAGTATTTACATTATTTTATAATATTATTTAATACACTTATTATTATTGATTAATTCATGTGCTCTCTGATCTCACCGTTGTCTGTACGTAGTATTTACATTATTTTATAAGATTATTTAATTTACTTATCATTATTTAGTCAGAAAATTTACCCTCTGTTCTCACCGTTGTCGGTTAAGCAGTCCTGTTGCCTCTTCCTTGTACTGCCTCCTGTTTCTCTCCCTCATCCTTGATTATTTAATTTACTTATTATTATTTAACAAGTCATGCACTTTAGTTACTCACAAGTTACTCTCTATTCTCACCGTTGTCTGTTAAGCAATCCTGTTGCCTCTTCCTTGTACTGCCTCCTGTTTCTCTCCCTCATCCTGTGCTGGCGACGCAGCTTCTCCAGCTGCAGCTGCGCCGTCTGCAGCTCCTCGCTGCTATCGCCCCCCTCGCCGCCCCCTCCGCCCCCTGATAGCCCCCTTTGGCTACGACGTGAACTCATGCAAGAATGTTTGGATACCTAACAAATTTGAGGTATAATTGCTGGGGGAAATACAATTAATAGATTAGAGTGGTGTAAATTGTATTTCTTGCGTTATATATTGTTGTTTGTAATATTGTTGGGTTATATTACAAAGTCATTCTGTTTAGTGGGAAAATTTCGCCCCCCTCGCCCACTCCGCCCCTGATAGCCCCCTTTGGCCACGGCGTAGTAAGTGTCCGTTATTCCTTGGATTGGAAAAGACTTTAAATTAAATATCAAAAAAGAAGTTTTAGAGCAAAATCTTCGCATCTCCCTTAAATATTATGTGTTGTTTCAGTTTCTTATTTAATGTGACTTCAATACGAGCATCACTTTAACTCTGATTGGTTGGGACTAATAAGTAGAACAAGTGAAATAAACATCAATTGCATGTCAACTCCAAGTCTCCCTCGACCCTCATAGAGCTTCTCATCTACTAGTCTCAGATCAATGATGTCTTCACTGTGTAATTTTATACTAATTATAAAGTTTTCTTGTTGAAAACTTTAGCTTCCGCACCAACTCGTCAAGCTGCAGCATGAGTGATTAGTCGTTTCAAAAGTGAACAATAACCCGGTAAGTTTTCAATGTGACGTTGCATCAGCAACAAATTCGATCAAAAATTTAATTTTACAATTGCGTGATACGCAATGACGGTGAAAATTTCAGGTGCGATGGCTGCATCATTTCACAATTAGGTAATTTCTATAATTCCTCACGTATAGCGGACTTTACGTTCCAGACCTGGGCCGTGATAGGGAACTGATCGACTGATACTACTTATTTAATAATTTATATTATAACTGTTTCTTAAGTTTTCATTGTTTTAATTGTACTTACAAACCCACCCTTCACTCATAATGCCAATCGAGTTTTAAATCTTCCGATCAGTCGATCTTCCGATCGACTTCCTTATAGGAACCCGCGAATCAGTGACGATCTCGTGAAAACCTGTGATGAAGTGAAGCCGCGGCATGTGAGGCACGATATACCTAGCAAGGAATCAATGCAATGCATCATAGAATTATTACTGACCAATTAGGATAAAGCTCATGTAGTATTCGTTACATATTTATTTCATAAATCTGATTGAATTAAAATTTTACCGAAAAAGTAAAATGCAAAAAAAACTTGGTGTAAGTTTACCATGCGTTCATCAGATATTCAGATACGTTTCAGTAGGCCAGCTCCATCATAAGTTTAGAAATTAGAGAATGTAACTACAATCAACAGACGAAAGCCAAATTTGCACAAAAAAGATGAAACCTAGGTAACAAAGAAAAAACGAAAACGGAAAATCAAAACCATACGATTAACGATTTGGTTTAATAACGTGCAGTGTTCCCAAAAACCTTGAATCCGAACCCCCGAAGGTGGTACCGAGTATCATGAATGACGAACATTAATGATGATGATAATGATGATGGGGCTGGTCTTCGAAACGTTTACGATGAAAATACGGTGAATTTACCTATCGTTTAATTTGCTTTCATATTCTTCGTAGATTTTTATAATGATTTAATCAAGTCAAAATTTCGCCTCCTCGCGCGAGACTCCAGTGAATTAGGACTACAAGAACTTCAATTTTAATCAAATAGTTATGAATTTCAAGACGAAAATTGAGAACTTCAATTTTAATCAAATAGTTATGAATTTCAAGACGAAAATTGTCACACGATGAAAATAGCATTAGATATTCTTCTGATATCTACAAACTTTCCCTTCTTATAAAGCATACCACCCGCAGGTTTTAATTATTTAGTTGCACAGTATATAACCTTGCTCATGTTCATAAGAAATTAATTTCTTTAACACGATTGAATTCAGAAGGGAATACAGAAGCGTCTAGTTTAACAAATAATTTCGTTCAAGTACTTGAATGTATTTAAAAGCACCTTATTCGAGCACCTTAAGTGCAATAAATGAATTTACATTGTTGCGATCACATGCTGACAACTTTCGTTCAAATCACTCGTCGTGGTCGACTATTAACTCTTCGGTCATTGAAATCTTTCTTGACGCCATAATATTTAATCTTGATCAAGAGAATATTCCCGTTCACTGATCTGCTTTCGTCCGTCCTCGCCTTTCTTTCCAACTGTGATAATTCTCGGTTGCCATGGACGCGGTAACCAAGGCTACAGTTTCAGGGGAAAATATATTGACTCATAACTTTGAACTTGAACAGCTTTTGCTTCATCATAGCATAAATGTTGTTAAGCAATATGAACGTGAACTTAAAATGGAAATGCGACTATATCCGGTCGTTAATTTTCATTTCATGAGGTTCTTATTCACAGCTTTCTCTGATCTCGAGGCAAGCAAAATGAATCCACTATTTAATTCAATTCTTACATTTTTCAACGGAGTTAACCGAGCTTGAATCAATTGTATTTGGGAATTATCAACAATGAAACAAGGTGGCTAAATTCTCAAGTTTTCGTCAAACGTGTGCTGTGCTCTTTGCTGATTTCATCAAAAGTCCTCTACACTTACGTCCCTCAGAAGCTGGCATTTCTAAAATTTGAAGTCAATTTGAGAAAATACAAAAGGTTAAAAGAACTGAAGTCGAACTCACGATTTATTATATATTTATTGCAAAATATAAACTGTGTTGAGGATTTCAAGCCGAGAATGCTACCATAAACTTTAAGTGAGCGCATCATTCAACTTAGGAGTCATGACTAAACACTAAATAGTAACAAACACTCCATCAGATCTTGCATTGTACACTGTTAGAAAAATTACCGTTAACGGTATTACCGACGTTTCAGTGGCCGGTCGACACGTGAAAAGAAACACCGTGTCGCCGTTTTTATTCTAGTTTTACACTACAAAACCGTAAAACATGTTATTAAAACGGCGAAACACTATAAATCCGTAAAACATCTGATAAAAACGGTGAAACAGTTTATTTTCACGGGGCGACCGGCCACTAGAACGCCAGTGGGACCGTTTTTTCACCGTTTTTTCTAACATTGTATTGTTAGAGGAAAATCTGACAGAGCGCTCGTTACACTACCGACCTACTGAACCCCAAGAACTCCTGCTACTCCCATGTCGTCTCCTCAAACTGGCTGAAGATGCTGTTATCTATGATACACCAAATGCAAAGCATCTTCACTTATAAAGATAAAAAAAAATTGACAAAAAAAGTTCCAGGAACTCAAACGCAAGAATCCAACGAACACAAATAATAACAAAATGAAATAAACGTCTTGGGACTATGGAACGATGAGAATCAATTGTTTGGTACAAGTGATAGATATACGTAATCCGAAATGAAGACATAAGTTAGAAAGATAAACATAATTCGGCAAGTCTTGGAGCGTAACATAACTGAAAGCTGACGTCATTTTTTATGCATGTTAAACTTCGTTGGTTCCTTGCAAATAAAAACTAAAAGTGTTGGTTATAAGAAATTCACATTGATAAGCTTCTCTATTAGCCACATCGCAAGCTCATACCGAATCAAAAGCATCGCAATGATCCGTGAAATTTTATTAGTGCAACAAAAAGTAAAGATCACAAAAACGCTGAAATATTAAATATTCAATACAGTAAAACACGATTTCTGGATGAAGAGGAACATCAACAGAAATGATTAAACAAAATTTCTAAATGAACTAGCTTCAGTATCAATCTTTGTTTAAGCCCAAAATTTCGCAATAATAGGCAGGAAAATTACATAAATTTTTCAAGTAAAATCGTGATTCATTTAGGGGTAAAGCATATGTTCCTTAAACTTAGTTTAATACTCTTAAAACAATCAACAGAACCCATGATTAAATACTAATGAAGTCTAGAGAGGGATTAACTTAATGAGAACAAACAAAAAAGAAAAGATACTAGAAAAATGTAACCCTTATCTAGGTCTAAATAAGAGTGACGCTGCGACTCTAAGCTTCCATGTCGAGCTGGAAAATCATGTTGTTAGTGAGCTCAACACGCTTCTTGTTGCATTTCCTTCCACGTTTTCTGCCGGCGCCGAAGTTCTGGTTCTTTTTAATGCAAGAGAGGTACACGCTTTTCTCCATGATGGTCGTCTTCGCTGGAGGCTCTTTCTCGGTGTCTGTATCCTCCTCAGTCGTGGTGTTATCGGTGGTCTCACAACTACTGGACAGCAGTTCACAGCCATCGCTCTCCTCAGTGGTCACACCCTCATCATGAGAGCTGTAGCCGCCGTTGCTACGGTAGGAGCTATCGAAACTTCGACGAGGGCTTCCTGGCGAACTACCGCTCTTGTGAGCAGATCTTTTCTCACTTCGCTGTTTCTTCTTGAGGTCTTTCATCTTCTGACGCATGGCTTTCTTGTCATCGTTTGCTAGCTGGTTGAGAATAGAAGCTTTGGACATGAACAAATGCGTCTGACTTGTCTCACTAAAACGAACGCTTTTTTTGCTTCCCTCACTGGACTCGAGATCGTCCGACTTGAAGAATGCCCCGTCGTCGCCGTCCTCTCCCCAGCCACACTCCTCAAGCAAGCTTTCCAGACACCCGTACTCTCCAACAAGGGCCTCTTCAACGCTTCCGTATTTCCCGAGAAGCTCTTCGCCAAGGCATTCTTCAAGGCTCCCTATGTGGCTCTCACTGTACGACCTTCCTCTTCTCTTCAGGATACTCTTAGGCCGCGTCGCAAACGTTTCACCGTCCCGGCCAGAAAACTTTTTCGTGTCGTACGTAGAACCAATCAAACACTCGCTACTTCGCCGGCATCGTTTGGAGTTGCTGGAAGCTATCGAAACGTCAAAGAACTGTTTTCCTTCTCTCCTTTCCTTATTCTTAATGGGACTAGCTGAAAATTTCACAGCCTCTTCGATTTTTGAATCACCAAGTTTCTCATCATCAATAGTTGCTCTATCACCTCCGTTGCTGACGGCATCCTCACTCGAATCTTGTGGTGGGGCAACGAGCTTCCCTATCTTTTTCTTTTTATTCAAGTTCACTTGGACCTTTGGCTCTGACTCGTCATTTTGATGCGAATCAATGACTTCATTCTTGTCGTTTTGGTCGTGAGGCGGCTCTTCGACAGCGGAGAAGTTTGTCGACTGACAATCGCCTGTGCTGGATGAACCACCATCAACGCTGGCAGGCTGCACCATGCACACCGGCTCCACATTCTGTAAAATAAAGTAACCATTAGCAACGGGACACTTTACATTAATATTGCAAAAATAAGGCTGGATACAACACAATCGATGCAAAGAATACCTGCGTTAAAAAGCCCTGTTAGTAAAAAAAATTATCCTGCATGACCAACGTAAGGTTAAAGAAACCAGTGTACTAAAGCTAGCGAGGAGTAAAGAAACCGGTGCACTATAGCTAGCGAGGAGTAAAGGCAGATGTACTAAAGCTAGCGAGGTGTAAAGGCAACGACAGCATCTTCCAGAGACGAAGAGCAAAGACAAGATACAGCAACAGAGACCAAGACATTCTAACAAGGTCACAGACAAGAGACGTCGGCAGCCCGCACGGTAGACAGAAGGGAAGTGTAGGAAATCATGTCCGTGTAACAACTAAACCAAACGACTCAGACCCCCAGTCGACATCGCGTGCTCTGTGATGAAGCAAGCGTTCATGAACAATGCTTCTGTAGGAATGCTTAACCCTACATGACTTATAATGAAGCTAAAGCTCAAATGTTTTTTGATGGGCGAGCTGAACTTGAAAGACTTGGAAAGAACATACGGTATTTGGATTGTAAAAATACTTAATGTATTGCGTGAGACAATAGAAATAACCACTTAATAATAAATAGCTATAAGCTTAAGATCGATCTGACTAAGTGGGTAAAATTGTTCACAGGGATAGATCAGCAACTGATTTCCATTCAACTATGTAACTATTAAAAACGATAAGAAAAATGTCAGCAGTTTTACCAATAACTCATGGTAGACAACGCTCGAAATGTTTGATTAGTTAATAATCAGTGTATTGATTAATTATCAATCGAGCGTCAGGAAGTGCACAATCAAGCCGATATTTCTACGCTTTAAGCCGGAGGTGTTTACACAAAATTGGAGGCTATAGCGGCCAAATAACAATATTGATTTATATCTTTGCTCTCCTGAACATTTGTGCGTTAACAGGGTTAAAAATTTGTGGCGCATTTTGAAAGCAAAGACGCCAAAAACAGCCGAGACGAATGCTGACACTGTCCCAAATCCAACTCAGGCACTAAATTTGACTAACAACAGCTGCGACGAACGCTACCTCCGTTCCACCAGCAACTTTAGCACTAAATTTGGCTAAGAACGGCCGAGACGAACGCTATTGTAAATTAAGTACGCATGATATAGATTAAAATCAAATTAGGGCACATATTGACACACGCGATGTCTTGCCCAGGCTGGTAGTCAGGGCCATGCCGAGGTCACCGGAGGCGCGTTGCATGCAGCACCAGCCAGCAACAGAACGGTCAATAGATAAAATAATCAACACACGACATCTTATTCCAGTGTCTAGGAATAAATTACGGTACTAGTCGTCTATAATAACATTATTTGTAGGCTTGGTATCTAGATTCAATGTCAGAAGAAAAAAAAGCTTAAATCATCTCGGCAATTAATAAAAACTAGTTCGCGTTGGTTCCTGGTTACATCTATCGTCGAAGAGAAAATATAACAGGTTGAACAACAAACAAATAATCACGATAATAGTTGTTGATAAAGCTCTAGCTAGAGGGACTAGAGTGGCCAATATAACCTCTAGAAACACCGAACATTACGAAAGAACGCGCTAATTTAATTTGATTAAAATATAAATAAAGGATGGCTGAATTTGTTATTTCATAATTTGATTGAAGACCATAGAATGAGTTATAGGATAATTTATCGTATTCATTTTTACAATTGAACAATAATTTTTCGAATGCATCAACATTCATTATCAAGTTTATAAGACGCATTGAGTAATGAAATTTGGTTCGACATGCGTAAAAAATTATGTAAGTATGATATTACTCGAAAATTGAGGCCCGAAAATTACTCGGAAAGCAGTCTCAAAGATCTGACAAATATATACGGTAGTTTGAATATCGACGGCTGGAGTCCTATTCCTAATGCTGAGAGATTCAGCTATCGCGAGTCGAATGGAGTCGCAGCATCGCATGACGATGCTGGTGCTAGCGACGGGGCACTGCATGACGACGTTGAGGCACTCCTCCAGGACCGTGCGAGTGATGGTCTCGTTGTAGGCCTCCATCAGGTGATTCTTCAGTCCTCCAGACTGAAGGTGGTAGGCGAAATACGGCTCAGTATCGTAGTCGTGAGCCCATACTTAGATATCTACAACCTTTTTTAATACAGAAGAGACTACATATTGGTCTACTGGAAAACTCGCGTTCTTTTGAGGGGAGGGGTTGTCGTTCACAATAGGGTTCAAGATTTTCTCGTTTTTATAGGTTCGATTGAAAAAACCCTATAGGTTCGTTTTTTCGATTGAGAAAACCAATAGGTTCGTTTTTTTAATGGTTCGATTGTTATTATTTGAGCTCACAATATTATTTTATGAGCGCTGGATTGAAGAATTTTTTATTATTTGATTCTTGTAACAGATAGTGGTTCCATTTCCATTTGGTCTGGTTCGTTGAGTCTGTTTTGGTTCGATCCAAGCTTTGAGATTTCCTTGACCATAATCGAACCGGCAAACCCATTATTGACCAAGATCTGTTTGCAATTTCTTAGTTCAGTTCCTAAATCACTCTAAAATGATCAGGTTTCGAAAGATCATTGGGTAAGGGCGCGTATTGCGCTCTTCGTGTGGCGCTGTGGACATTCAGTGACAGAGTTTAGAGACTTCCCAGCATTGGTAGCCTTCCGATATATTTTAGTGCTGAACTAATTTTTTTTTTAACTTGGACCAATTTTCTAAAAAGGGGGCGGAGTACAATTTTGGCCGAGTTCGACTCGCTCAACATTTGTGTCACTTGTTGAAAATCAAGAGCGAAAATTATTAATAAAAGCCATTCTCCGGTTATCAGTCAAACTTGAATTTAAATAAGAGGGCAGGACAATTGTAGCAGTTATACCAGTGCAGGAAAGCTTTAACCAGAATAAAGTTAATTTTCCCGCAGCGAAACTACAATCAGCACAGTAAACTAATATTCCCGGATTGAGTACAAACATATTACGGTTTTATTAAAGTACTTATGCAGAACCGCGGTCATTTTAAGGCAAGCTCATACTTGCATTCACGTCTTGCATTAAATTCACTATTTATTTCTATCATATCATATGAGCTATGTGGGCGATTTATCATCACATGTGCGCTAGCTTCGAACTGCACTTAGAGCTAAGAACATGAGGGTTTTCTTAGCTAGGGGAATTGGAATGTAAAGGAAATGGGAATGTAAAATAATAAACATATAAGAGAATAGTAATAGTAAACAACATAATAAGAGGAATGTAAAAATATTATCTTGCTTAAGTGCACGCAATAGACCAAATTATTTTGTTTAAGTGCATGTGATAGACCAAATAGTATGGTTTAAATAAATCATGTCATACCTAACAATTTTTGTTCAAGTACACATTATAGACCAAAAGCTTTCCTCATCACGACGGTGAAGTTAATTCCAGAGTTTGCCCAGAGAGTCTGGTGCTCCTGCATAACATTTTATAAGCAATATTTGTTAGGAATTCTACTAAGGTTGGTGCGCCTTGAAGAACACGACAATAACATGCATTAAAATGCAAGACTGTGTAACGTCTGCTGGCTATTGATGTAAAGAGAGATCTAGTCGGCTATAGTAGTTTGCATACAGTATTTTGCAATGCACGCGCATCAAGCAAACGTTACCACACAAACAGAAGCACACCTCAGGGACAAATTCTTCCTTGAAATGATGAAGTTCTCATCACTCACAATTATTTTACTACATCATTAGAACAGAGATATTCCTAATACTATGAATCATGCTGGCCTGTAAGTGAGAAATAGTTAAAAATTTGTAATAAATTAGCAATAGTAAATGATGTTCTCATCACTCACAATTATTTTACGTCATTAAAACAAAGCCACTCCTAGTAATATAAATCACGCTGGCCTAAGAGTGATAGTTACAAATTTATAATAAATTAGCAATGGTATACGAGGGACGGTATACCTGATACCAGGAGGGACGGAGCAGCAGCACAACGAGGGATCGCAGTGCGCCGTATAGCGGCGCCGCGACGCTCTCAACAAGCACTGCGCCTACTGACATCGCGCGCATCCGATGATCGCAACAAAGGAGATCAGTCGAAATTATTGAACGCTGCTAAATTTATTGAAATAATACACCGTTGCTGTAGTTATCCCAAATTTTAACATAACAGTACGATGAAACCGAAGTGAGTTCCCATCACTGATATTGCGAAGAATTTGGTTTATACCTCTGATGTCGCTTTGCTCACTGCACTAGAATGGTTGCGTTTCTGTTTTTTACTGGCAAACAAATTTATGTTTTTCTGACCATGCCAAACGAAAGTCAGGGAAGTGAACTAAAAGCCTAGTTTCCGACTATGACATCTTTCATTCACTGAGATCATTTCACTTTCTATTACGTCCGATAAAGCACAGCAGTCCGATAACCAGGGGCCATGGTTCACAGAAATACACAGTAAATATCAAAGAGATCTTTCATATGACAATCGTCTAATTAAGGCGTCACTCGAATATTTAGTTAAATAATTGGTCTTTCCCAGACGTAATCTAATACACAAGGAATTTGAGAACGGATTCCAGGCATTCCAGTCCATCGATTTTACGCACATTTAACTTGAACTTACTGCGCGGTTCTCAATCAGTAAATTGTACTAAATTTATGAAACTTGAACTTCAACTATAAACTTACAAGGAAATTAAAGCTTTATATATAATCAATTTGTTAACGGCCAATCTATGCGAAAGGCAATCTATCGATTGGCATTTTCACTGCAAAAGTTAGGAATCCCAACACATTTCTGTGGACAGACAATAGGAAAATAATCCTAAACGAACGTTAAAGAAATGAAAGCATATGTCTCAGAGGTGAACACTTTGAGCAAAGACATTAATCTGGGGTCTCGCTGACTGCTCCACAAGTGGCTAGGAGATGACAATGGAAATATATTACCGAGTTATTCATAGACCGGCACAA